TAGCTCAAACTGAGTTTTGATAAATCTCTGAATACTGGTCCAAAATGCAAAACCGGTAAGTAATTCTACCACCGATTCGCCCAGGAACATGTTCCAAGTGTTCCAATTGAGTTCCAGGTACAACTTGATGAGCTCTACCCAATAGTATAATCGGATCTTGCATACCTCAAAGTATGTTTCCAAAAATCCCTAAATAGTGGTCCCAAATACCAAACCGCCATGTAATTCTACCGCCGATTCGTGCAGGAACATGTTCCAAGTGTTCTATTTGTGTTCCAAGTACAACTCGATGAGCTCTATCGAATGATACATCCAGGTTTTCCATAGCTAGAACCATGTCACAGAAAATTTAAAAATATTGCTGGATCAATACAAGAAGTTGGTATTCTCTATGTTGAAACCTACTAAGATTTGTCAATGAGCGGGTTCCGAATATTCCATTGGGGTTCCAAGTACAACTCGAAGAGTTTTATCGAATGATGTGTTTTGGATACTCTCTATGTCAAAATGCGTCTGAAAGAATGCGAAAATGCTGGTGTGTCAGCAGATGGAATCTTTCGTTCTGGATAGTGAAGACGACCAACACGCTTCCAGGAATAGGTTCCACATGGTTCAATCAGATTCCGAGTACTACTGGATGAGCTCTGTTCAAAGGTATAGTCATATACTCGATAGCTCAAACTAGGCTTAGAAAATCTAAACATAGTAGTGTGTTTGGGAAGGCATCGATGATTGTGGACAGTGAAAGGAGCCAAGATTCTTCCAGTATGTTGCTCCAGTTATCCTACTTATGTTCCAAGTGCAATTCGATGAGTTCTATCTCATAATGGATTCGAAATTTCTGTAGGTCGAATTGCGCTGCCGAGAACCCGAAATTTCTAGCTTATGAGAGCAGGAATCAACTATTGTAGACAGTAAGAGGAGTCAAAATTCTTCCAGAATGATGTTCCAGTTGTTCAACTTATGTTCCAAGTACAACGGGACGAGTTCTTGGCAATGGTGCATTCACATTTTCTATAGCTCAAGCTAAGTCTCTGAAAATTCAAAAATACTATTGCGTGAGTGCAGGAATGTTTAGTTTCGGAACATGAAACCGAGGAAAGTTTTGGGATGAGGATATTCCAGATGGTTTGTTTGTTTGTTTTCGAAGTAACACTGGATGACCTCAAACGAATAGTATAACTAGTTTCTCGATATCTCGAACCACTCCGAGAAAATCCAGAAATACTTCTATATCAGTAGAGAATACTTGGGGTCTATATGGTGAAACTGTCAAGATTCTTCGAACAACATGTTCAAGATGTTCCACTTATGTGCTTAGGAAGGCTCACAGATCTCTATACGATGGTGTATTGAGCTGTTTAATACCGCTAACCGTGTACGCAGAAATCGCAAACATGGACCCCATTATACATGACTTTGTCGCTGATACAGTAAAATCAGCTAATGTCTGTGAAGGAAGATGTTTGTAGATGTTCCATTCGTGTTCAAAGGAGTGTTTAAGAGGCTCCATGCTTTCGTAGATTGCGATGGTCAAAACCACAAACTATACTGTAGATAACGCGTGAAAAACTATTAAAAGATGTCTCCTATAGTATGTAGCGATGATACTTATATTGTAAAACTAGCCGAAATTCGTTTAGAAGCACGTTTCAAATGTTCCATTTGTGTCCTAGATACAACTTGATTTGCTCTATCAAATGTTGTATGCATGTTTTCAATACATTGAAATGCCTTACTGAAGTCTTTTATATTATGGAAGCCAACCAAACAAGTAGCGTTCATCGAGAATCGATTCATTTTTTTCCCTAGACTGAGAAATTGATATGTAATTGTTATTATATAAGGAAAATATGACCGAATAAAGTATTACATGTGTATAAAAAGCTGATTTTTATAGTTACAAATGAACAGCTTAATAAAAAACCGAATACAGAAATATTTATAAAGTAAGATTAATATATATGTGAATACACAAACAATGATTTAGAACATTGCATATATGCAAAGAGTTGTTTGATGGGAACTTTTGTTTGTTTTTATTTCTATTATTACTTAATTATTATTAATATATATATATATATATATATACAGTAAATTAGTTTTATTAATCATTTAAAGTTTTTATTTATTATTTTTTATTGTTTATAATGATTTTGTTGAAATCAAATGTTTTTTTCTAAATCACAATGATCGTGATTGAAAAAACCTGTATTTTTTTTATGACGAGGAACTAGTTAATATATTTCTTTCAAGTTTTAAATAATATACCAAACTTTGTAAATGATTACAAAGCGTGTTAAGTTCAAAAGAGTTTGAATTATTTCGATTTAAAAATTTAAAAATATTATATACAGTTATAAGTTCACAACCGATATCATCATGGCGATGTAAATAGAAATGATTATTAAATTCATTTATAAATTTGTACAGTCGATGACATTTATCAGTTATATTCATATCTGATGTGTTCATACTTATAATATTTATTAAACCATTACTAAGCTTATTAAGTTCATCATAAGCTTTACATATTATTGAACAATATACTTGAAAATGGTTTACTTCAATTCGATCGGTAATCTTTTGTTTACAGCAGTTCCAGTACTCTGATAATCTCATTTGATAAAAGAGTACGTTATATGTTTAAAGTTTAATGAAATTTACAAATGAATTAAACTTAATTAATAATTTAATATTATGTATATAATTACGCGCGTTATAAGTAATCAGTCAACAATAAAAATATAATTAATATGAGTTACAGAAAGTTATAATGGAAAAAACGTATTATATAAAGAAATTTTGGAGTTAATAGAAGGTCTATATTGATATAAATTTTTTATATGATAGAAGTTAAGTTATATTAAAAGAAATATTTTACTAAACAGAGCTATGTTTTTTTTTGAAGTTATCTTTTATTTTATAATTTATTTTTATGAAAAATATGTTAAAGATACGTACGAAACATTATAATTATTGAAAGTGATAATTTTTTTAAATATTAACCAAATTTTCATAAAATATTTGGTTCTCATTTCTAAATTTAGACATTATCGAATAGAATAATTCATATAAGCAAAACTGAACAATCTGTTAACAGAGAATGATTTAGAGAGACAATAATATAATGGGTCTTTTTTTTGTTATCATAAATCGTACAAAAACAATATGTCTTATTAAAATCTTTTGTGATAATTAGTTTTCATTCTAGTTTCGTAATGAATAAATCGTTCAAATATAATATATATATATTTGTATCGCACTATAAGGACGATAGAAAATCATTTTTTTTTCAATGTTTAAAATTAATAATATTTGAAAAATAATTCAAATTCAGTTAACACTAACACATTTCTCATCATCATAAACTAAATAGACAAGTCGCTTCATGATCGAATTGTACATATAATATTATGAACTATTTTAAAACAAAATTCTATATTTAAATTCTTTATATGTATTTCGTTTAATTTTTTTTAAATATTTTCATAAAATAAATAAGAATGTTTTCAATTCAGTTTTTTATTTTTAAGTAATTTACAACAGTATTTTTTTATTAGATTTTTCTCTTTTTTTTACATGTGAAAATAAATTCGATATATATATATATATATATTTTTATTAGCTTTGCGCGCCATTCGAAATATATATTATTTTAACGATCATAGTTACCATATGGTAACCGTACGTGTTACAGACACACACACAGACAGACAGACACACACAGGTGAATTTCGGTTTCTAGACCCTACACTTTCAGTCTAGGGAATAGGTCAATGAATTGTTTTGTTGGAGGGGAAAATTCGTTGTGAAATCTATTCTAATTTTGTTTTTTCTATCATATGCAGTAAATCTTCGATTTCAACTAGTCATGATTGTATGAAAATAGAAGTTATATAGAGTGCAACTGATTTTAACGTGTTTTCTGGTTAGTTAGTAAATTCACAGAGTCACTTCATTTCATTAATCCAGTGAAGTTGAATAAATTAAAAAGAACCTATATTAACCAATTTAGCGAGTATGTGTATACGCCCATAAATCATCCATCAAATCATCTTTCGATGTAGTTAAACTTATCTCACTAGCAAACGTTCTGACGAGATATTCTACTCAGGTGCCCAACTCTGATTCATTTCATTATAGATCATTCGATAGAGTATAGTGAGATGGTTAAAATGTAAAAATATTATTGACCACCAACCCTTTCTCAAAGTGTTACAGTCATTTTACTAGAATCTTAGCCTATATCATAGTATCTACCAAAAACTGAAATGAAGGTATCTGAAGCTGAAATTTTGTCCACAGATAGGCCTACTTGTAACTAGAATATCCTGAAAAATTCAGGTCAAAAGAATATTCTCTTCATGAGATGTTGAGTTTTCAAAAAACTTGATGTCCTCCAATCTCTTCGTAGAATATGAGTGATTTTGAAAATTGGATCCTTCATGAAGGAAAAAACCTTTTGGCCTGAGTTTTCCAGGGCATTCTAGTTACAAATAGGCCTATCTGTGGACAAAATCTCGGCTCCAAACACCTTCATTTTAGTTTTTGGTAGATACCATGCTATAGGCTGAAGTTCTAGTAGAATGACTGTAGCGCTTGGAGAGACGGTTGGTGGCCAATAATATTTTTAGCTTTTGACCACTTCACTATAATCTATCGTATGAGATTCGAATGAAGCGAATCAGAGTCAGGTAGCTGGATAGAGTCCCTCGTGAGTGAACATGCAACAAACACTAGTTGTACACCTTCTTCATTTCTACAGTCTGTGAGAATCTTTTGAATTAAAATCTTTAAAAGTCTAAAATGGAAGACATTATTATTACTTACGTGGATGAACCAACCGTGAGATTGCGTGGAATGTCGTGGATGTTGAGACTGACCGCGCTCAACTTTTTTGTTTCTGAATCTTCAGCTATTGGGTGAACAATGTCCACGAAAAGAAATGGTGGCTGCCCATTAACAAAAGTAGCTGATTGCATAATTACTTTTTCATTACATTGCCAACCTTCACTGTAATATTCATTTTCAATATAAATAATAGAATATATTATTAAACTTACGTGTATTCCATTGTATTTGAATCGACATTGATTACCTGTGTTCTACATCGCTTATAATGAAGACGGAATGCGTCTTTATATGTAATATCTCCTAATTTGGTCACGAAAGCGGTACAAGAAAAAGTATCTTCATACTCAAATTTTGAAATGGAAGTTTCCCAACATCTAAATTCCAAGAAAATAATTGGAACATTGTATATTGAATTATGATGCATTAGTGTAGCAGTAGATGAGTTGTTATATGGTAAAAAACATAAGAATCACCTCCTGATATAAGTGAGATATAGTCGCTCATGAAAAGCAAAAAGACTAGTTTGTAAGTTTCTTTTAAGCAAATTCGATGACAAATCTTGAAACCCATACTTAAAAGAACTGAAGTCAAGCAACTATCCTATCTCACTAACCCATCATTTAATTCAGTGATCATATTTATTACTTACTCGACACCTATATCAGTAGTTTTAATGGTACGCTCACGCTGTGGACATGTATGACGAGCACAAAAAGTTTTAGCTTGATGAAGTTGCAGAGGGTTTTTTATGAAACGTATTACATTCGTGTCGAGCGATTCATAGATGTCATTTGTATTGACATCTTTACGATTTAGGAGACCGTGACTGGTTAGCCAGTATAATCTGGCCTCGTCCCATCCGTCCGATTCGACTAGTAAGAAAGTCTCACGGAGCGAATTGAACGGTTCGTTTTGAGAATTTAAGATTATATCATTGATGCTTGGCTCTGTTCGAAAGATAACATAAAGAGCGAAAAGTGGAGAATCGATACTACAGGTATTTGTAACTGAATATGTATGACCTAAAAATATTCAATGTCTTTTAGCGGTTAACAGACAGCAAGAATGAAGTTATACCTTCGAATTTTGTTTTCTTGATGCCAAAAGTGGGCCATGTAAGAGGACATTGTTGGATCTCGACGATTTGACGAAGTCGAGGTACAAGTAATGAATTACATGTATCAGAAGCTTCAGGTAGTCCAGATAGTCGTAAATGCATATTCTCTTCAGTTTCTAATATACAAAGTATATGTGTAAATATCAATGGAAATGAGAGATCTTTTAACGAAATACCTTTTTTTATGTAATGTTTTTTTTTTTCATGTTGACTTTTAGAATTTTCTTTCTCTATATTTTCAGCTTTCAATACATTTTTTGCTTGTTCTGAGGTTGATAAGGCGTCGGAGAAGTTATCAAATTTTACACATGAAAATATATTAACTGGAGAAATTGTTGAATCAGAAATTGGAATCTCCTGTTCATTTCTTAAATGACTTTCATCATTTGGAGGATGTTCTTTCGTAAAAGAATTTACACATTTTGATGATGACGAATCAGGTGAACTTTGCAGTAATTTGACATTAGATATGTCATTCAAAGCATCATTTGTCTTGTGCTTTAAGTCACTAGAAATCAAAGACGGCTTATTAGAAAAATTAGTTTTTGGTGTATGACTAATTGGCTTCGATACAAGTCGCTTCTGGTTATATTTATTAATTCGATTTAAATATGTATTTCGTAGTCTTTTTTGACCTTTCTTCTTAGCCCAAGGCTCCACTACATTCATATCTTTAGGTTTTCCTTTTCGGTTTTTTACATTTTGATAAACTCCGAATTTATCTGCTTTTAACTGAATCTGAATACTTCGATAAAGTGATACGATCACCTCTGCTGGCCGCAGGTTAGTTCTCTTTTCAAGTATAGAATCTTTTAGGACGCCAAAATATGATTCTATTTGAGCGTTTGACAGACGACCTTGTTCATATGTGCTAATATCAACTGATGTTCGATCACTAGAATATCGTTCCTCAAATTCGGTAAGCAAAGATGTCCATAAGGGTAGATAAGCAAACCATTTATAAAAAACCAAAATAATTTGACGACAAAAAAGTGGATTCGTTATATTATCATATGTTTTTCTGGAGTCCAACAAGTCAGAGAGCTCAGGAAATCGACGAATAGCTTCAATATTAAATGGCGATTCGTGAATAATTGCTTTACTATCATGCATATTCTCATCAACTTCATCTAAAGGATCAATGGAATTGTCTTCTATTTCGAAATCACAAGGACCGATCTTTTCAGAAATATTCTCGTCGTCATATGGAGCTTCTAAAAATTTCTCAAGAATGTTCTCCGCATCAGTAGCATGCGGGTTACCAAACATATGTAAAACACGTTTTAAAAACTTAAATGACATTTCCAATTCACCGCAATTAATGAACAAACCGAACACATGCATGACCTTTTTTCTTACGTTTTTGGCTACATTGGCAGCGGAAAGACTTCTAGCAAAGGTATTCATCATGTGAGAACAGCAAAAGCGCAAAAATGACTTAGAACGGATTTGTTTCGCATCATATTTACGTAAAAGGACATTCCAACATCGTTTTAAATGACCACGAATATCTTCATGGTTGAATGTCTGTAAAATAGCATTAAATATTGCTGGAGAGAAGTCGGTGACAAAAAAAGAAGGTCGAACAACTTTCTCTGTGAGAGTAACGATACCTTGTCGAAGAGTACCCAAAAAATAGCTTATGCTCGTTGCTGTGTGATCAGCAAGAATAGCATGTCCTAATGGAATTACATTGGTGGGATCGTTTCCATCCTTAAAAATAGCTGCATACATTAGAACTGATTTTTGATGCGGTAAACTCTTGACTATCGATCCGGTTGCATCGATATATACATGAGAGTAAGAGTTATTTTTACAATAACTAACATAACGTAATATTTGCGGTTCTGATGTAAGGTGAAGACGAAATGGTTTCTCAGCCGTAACCTGTACATATCCTTTTATTTCTTCGGATGTCACATCGATTTCTTCAAGTATATATTGTCTAATTCGACATTCTCTGAAAATATCTTCGTCAAGTCGATATATTTTTCGGTAATCTGCTGATGCATGCTTTATAACTTCTGCAGTTTCACAACCGGTGAAATTACGAGCTTTTAACATTTCTTCGTCAGCACTTTCTACTTTTTCATGAAATACTTTTAAAGGACCAACAGCATTTGCTGCCTTTCCAACCTCTAATCTCTTTTCTCCAGTTAGTTGTCGCGCTACTGGCGGTCCCTCATGGTTTTCGTCTCCCATGGCTCGTACACGAAAAACAATACTTTCTCGTGATACAGGTTCATCTTTGACAAAAATGTCAAATACTCGCTCGCACGAATTATTGCTACATATAGCGAAAGCACGAAAAAAAGAACAATTCTTTTTACGTGAATTTTCAACACCAACCTTACGTCTATCAAAAGCTAGGGTACAATGAAAATTACATGAGCGTACTCTTTTATCAACCACATCCGTCCATCCAGATTTCATTTTACGTTGAGAGCGATCATAAATACCTTTCCAGTCTTTATAGTTCATAATGAACGATGCCTCAACTATCGTTGGTAGATTCAACTTGTGTTGAGCTGTCGAACGAGTCTGTGGCTTTGGAAGAGTTGCATTAGACGCTAGAGGCTTAATCTCCGAATTCAACGGAGAAAGCTCCTCTTCATTTTTTTTGTCTGATTTATGATCCTCTTTAACACAATCAAGACGATTTTCAGATAGAGTACTTTCAATTTTTGTACGATTTCGTCGCCAAAAATTATACATAGAATGCCGTATACTTTCGGTTTGATTTAAATTCAATTTCGATATCAAACGACCCCAAACAGATTCATTAGAACGAGTTAATTCATTTAGACGCCATGTCTCATTATTAAGTTGTCTCTGAGAGAAGCCTAACTCACTAACAGCAGATATAAATTGCTTTTGAGTAATATTATTCCCAGTACTTTTTTTACCCTCTACCTTTTTTGGACTTGATTGCTCATTTATGAAATTTTCTCCTATTTGCTCTGATGACTGATTATCCGAAGAATTTTCATCTATATGATGTATTGAACCTGAATTACATTTATTTTTTACAGATGAGATAAATGGAATTTTACGTTTCATTTTTAATGTAAACAAGCTTTTCTACTCTATATGTACTCCCTGTAGAATATAGATTAATTGAATCGACGAATGATGATGTATGTTGCAAGATGAATGATATTCATATATTGATCTTTCCTCTTTATTTGCTCGCTCTTGCTCTGTTTTTTTTCTTTGACTTTTTTTCTTTCTCTTCAGTTCTTCATTGGATAAGAAAACATGACGCAGCTGCTTATTGCGGAACATTCTCAAATGAGAAAAATTTCTATTGTTCACTGTTATTCGTTCATATTTGTGCTTTCATAAAATCCATTCATAATATCAATTTTTTAATTACTTGATCGATTTTTATAGTTCATTGTTATTTACCTATTGTGTAGTTCAATAATATTCATCTCATGATATAGTTCAAGACTATTCATCTACTTTTATTGTTTAATCTTGTTGATCTAAATTTAAGGTTTAATATTTTTCATTTTTTTATTCTTTAATTTCGTGTATTCATATTGATATTTCAGCGCTATTATCAATGAATAATATTGAACAATAAAAAATATGAATAACATTAAATTATCAATATCATTGATGAATCATATTCATCGAAAACATGTATAGATCAATATTCTTCATCTACTGACACAGATCAATGCCATTCATTTAATTTCGTAGTTCAATCTCATGTATATATATATGTATTCCAGTGTCGTTATCAGTGAATAATATTGTAGTATAAAACAAATGGACATGCACGACATTGATCTATATCAATAGATGAACAATATTGAACTACAGAGATACTGCATGAAATTTACTCATCAACAATATCTATAGGTCAATATTTTTCATCTATTGATATAGATCAATGACATTCTTTTTTTAATTTCAATGTTATTATCAGTGAATAATATCGAGCTATGAAGAAAAATGAATAACACTGAACTATATCGGTACATGAGTCACATTGATCTACATGAATAAATGACCAATTTTTAACTGCAGATATTTTCCACGAATATTATTCATCATTAATATCTATAGTTGAATGTCACTCATTGTTCTACAGTGCTATATTGTTCAGTAATAATAAGATTGAAATACGAATAATAGATACATGAGATTGAACTGTAAAAAAAAAAGAACAACATCGATATATATCAACAGATGTACAATACTGAACAATAGATTTTTTCGATGAATGTTGTTCATCAATAAGATCTGTAGCTTAATATTTTTCATCTATCAATATTGATAAATGTTGTTCTTCTATTGACATACATCAATCTCATCCTTTCTTTAGTTCAATGTCATGTGTTCGTATTTATATTCTTGTGATATTATCAGTGAGTAATGTTCAACTATAAAAAAAAATGAGTAACTTTAAACTTTAATTATTTTTGATGAATAATATGCATCAAAAATTTTGATAGTTCAATATTGTTCTTTTCTTGTATAGTGCAATTTTATTCAGTGATAATAAAACTGAAATATATATAATAGATACACACATTCGAACTATAAGAAAGGCGAGTAACATCAATCTATATTAAGAGACGAGCAATATTGAACTATAGATATTATTAATGAATAAAATTCACGGAAAATCTCTATAGTTGAATACTGTTCATTTATCGACATAAATCGATGTTATTCATCTGCCGATATAGACCAGTGCCATTCAATTTTTTTATTGTTCAGTCTCATGTATCCATATTTATATTCCAGTGTTATTACTAGTGAATAATATTGAACTACATCGATAGATGAATAATGTTGAACTATATATATTACTGACGAAAAAATGTTAAACTATAGATATTATTGATGAAAAATGTTGAAGAATAGTTAGTATTGAAGAATATTATTGAACTATAGATATTATTCAAGCATAATGTTGAAGTATAGATATTGATCAAGACTATTATTGAAGCGTAGGTATTGTTGAAGAATATTAATGAAGTATAAAAATAGATAAATAATATTCATCGAGAATATCTATAGATAAATTTGATTCATCTATTTCTATAGTACAATAGTTTTCGTATTTTCTTATGATTGAATAATCTTTATAGCTAGTTGAATATCTATAGTAATTGAAACAGATAATATCGGCATACACATAGTATAAAAAAGCTGCTTAACTTATCTCTTTTTTTCTATCGAAATACATTTCTTTTATGCATATATGTGAATCGTTGGTGTTCTCTTTCCAATTAGTGATGCTGTCGTTCTTTAATTCTTAATTGGTGTCCATAGTGGACAGGTAACACATGAAGAGATAATTGTTTTAAAAGGAATAATATATAACTTTGTCACACTTCGCAATAATGACCCTGTGGTGATAATCGTTTAAACTTAATCTTCTCACAGCATCTTGTATAGTTTGACACGCTCAATAATTCTATTGAACATTTCTTTTCTTGTGTGAAAAATTGTATATAAGCCTTGGGACATGAGCTCATTTCATCATTCCATTCATTATTGATTTTCTTATTACATCTGCTTCTCTCAACTGTTATAACATACGACTTTTTTGGAGATTATTTTTAATCGGTATGTGATCTTTTGACTATGAAATAATAGAAATTTTTTACCATGTATAAAAAATAGTTCCAACCATCATTATGCAATTGATTGCACGTCGTCAGTCACTATCACCACTTATCATCATTCTATTCAATATATTTACAAATGTTCATTCTTTTTCAAGTAACCATTTCACAAATGCTGAACGAAAAGATAGTATATACAACCAATTACTTAGCGGACAACATCTGATTGTAGATGAAGAACGAGGAGTTGTTTTCAGTCGACTTGGATACTACTATGAAGTAGATGACATCTTTGGATTAGCAGTGAGTGTACCAGTTACTCAATATGTATGTTCGATTTTACCTATGGAGCAAGTTGAGAAGTTGAGTTTGTGTCTTGAATATCAGGAATCGGTTCGCGCCAAAATTAAACAAGGAGGAATTGCTAGTCACTCTTCTATTTCGGATTTCTTAAATTCTACTAATAATACCTTGTTATTTTCTAAAAACGCACCTACGAAAACTCATCATCATTATCACCGCAGTAAACGTTTCATACCAATAATTGTTGGTGTTGCTGGTGTCCTTGGTTTACTTTTCACTGGAGGAATAGGAATTTTTAACACGATAAAAAGTGCACAATTGAGTACTCGAGTTTCGGAAATTCAGAAATCTGCTTCTGAGACTAATAAGCAACTACATAGCTTAGAACTTTCCGTATTTACTAATACAAATAGTACAATACAATTAGCACGTTCCTTCGGTAAAGCACAAGAGAGTATGGAAACTATACGTGTTAATATGGAAGCCATCGTCAAACACGTTTCCCGGCTAGATTCATTTGCCGAGGCGCAAACGCGCTATAACTTAAAAACACATGCAGAGCATGTTTATGATAGGATGAAGAATTCTATGCGTCGCATAGAACGGAATGATCTCAACTTAGATTTTGTCGGAATGGTAGAGCAGAATGAAATTCTGGAACTAGTTTACCAGCGTCTTAAAAATTCGGTTCCTAGTGGCACTGATTCAAGAGTCACATTCATATCACGCATGCTTTTTGCGCAAACTGTTCAGTTTTTCCCATCAGAAAACGCTTCACATACTAATGATAGTACCGGTTACTACCCTGAACATTTAGGAAATATTGTATTTACATCATATTTTTCAGTACTTAAAACGAATCTCTACGATAGGATACAAGTTTACAAGCTTACCGCTTTACCAGTATTTATGCCTGAACAAGAAATAGGGAAGGAGGTATTTGGTTTGCCAAAGATGATAGGAGTCTCGAATGGTGGATACATAGAGTGGCGAGAAAGTTTAGAGCAACAAGGATGTGATTTTGGAGACTACACAGTTTGCCGAGATCCACCCCTTGTCCAGAAACGTATCAATAATATGTGTGTAGAGCAACTCATTTCCGCCAATCGCTCATTTCATTGTCATCTACAGGCCTCTCTATATAACTCGCCACATTTCCAGAAGCTTAGTCCCAGTATAATGGCATTGTCGACTAAAACACCTATAAGATGTGCCATAGCCAGACGATTTCATGTTTTTAACAACTTGTCCTTAATTCATCTAGCTTGTAACGACAGCTTTTACTGTGAAAATAACATGAATTTTGTTGCAGATAGACGATGCCAGACATTAAAACCATATATTTTGAAAACAATTAGCGATGACTTAGTTCCAGTTGCTGAGCCAATTCGACCTTTAAATATAAGTTTACCGAGCGTATATCCATTTGCATCTGATAAAAATTTGATATTAACGTTAGAAGAACAGTTGAAAGTTCAAGAAAAAAACATTCGAGAAACAGAAAAAACAGGAAGCAGTCTATTAAAACAGGATGACATTGGTGCAACAAGACCACTGGTTTTTTACATTACTGTTGCACTTATTATATTTCTTATAGTGGTTATATTTCTTGGTCTTTGTTTACTATGCAGATATCGCCGAGCCCTACAGTCAGTTAATACACCAACTCTAAATATTGGCACAACCATGAGTCAACCATCGGCAGCCATGTCGAAGATATCTCGTGAGAATTTAGGGAGTGTTGAAGATCTGTTACGAGCATTTGTCCTAAACAAAGTAGAAAAGAACTGAAACACTTCTCGTTCTTCATTGATCTTCATTATTCACACTAACAATTTACTTCATTTATCTTCATTATTCACACTAACAATTTACTTCATTTATCTTCATTATTCACACTAACAATTTACTTCATTTATCTTCATTATTCACACTAACAATTTACTTCATTTTTTTTCTGTTTATTATTCATTTAAAAAATTGTACATCTCTGTATTGTCAATAAATTTCTGTGCTTAGTATTGCGAAAAATCACTCATATATTTTGCTTGATTCACGTTTTCACCATGATTACAAAACTGCTCTGAAACACACAAGCGGCAAAAGATTTTAAAAATTACTCGAATATCTCAGAAAATTCACTTCAAAACAATCAATACAAGATCTTTT